TTTCTTTCTCTTTTTTTTTTTTTTTTTTAGGTGCTGGTGTGCTTGTTGCTCCCCGTGAAGCAGATGCAAGCGCACCTGGCGAGATGGGAAAGCCAGTGATTCTGCCAACGAATTTGACTGCCGAAACTAAAAAACTTGTCGACGATGGATGGCTAAACAACGCGTTCAATCAGTACGTTAGTGATCTGATTTCTGTTCATAGAACACTGCCCGACCCTCGTGATCCATGGTGAGTCAAAATTTTCTGCATGATTCTTTTCTCAATAATTTTTACATCTTTTTTACGTTCTTCTATATGTTTTTTTTTTAATTTAATACTATAAATTTATCGAATAATATAACAAAAAAATATGAAAAATTTAAGTATATAAAATTTAAATATGAAGAACTTCATTTTATGAATTTATTATTTCATAATGTCCTTTTAAAAATGATTTAATTCACGTTTATATCGTTCAGAATTGAGTACATCGTAAAAAAGAAATTATTCTGTAAATTTCATGAACCTATAAATACAACACTTCAACTATAACCATATTCAGTAATGGTATATAAACTTTGCGATGTACTATCAAAACGTAAATATATCTCAGCGATAACATTTTATTTCAATTAGTTGTATTGTATGTTAATAGACTTGGAAAATTTTTAATAATCTTTATTAATTAATTTATTTGTAAGAAAATCAAGTTACAATATTTTTTGCACCTGTTTTTGTATTATTCATATATATGTATGATACACATTGAAATGATAATTAATTACATCTAACATTTATTGGAATAATGAAATAATTCAACTGCAAACTTTAAATTATCGATAAAAAAGGATCTTTTTTGAACTTTTTGTATAATATAATATAATATTTCCAATTTATTATTTTTATGTGATATGCGTCTAGTATATATGCATATACAGAATATTATATTCATGAATATCTGGAAGATCAATTCTGAGAGATCAAAACAAACACAAAAGTTGAAACACAAAAGTTTCGTTTAAGGCTTATTTATTAAATTACAAGCGATTTAAGTTCGCATTTTAAATGAAGCGAGACAAGGATAGAATGAGACAGCTTCATCATTCCGCCGCGGTGTGGCGCGCCTATCATTCTTCCTCTCGTTTCATTCAACGCAAGTTTCAATTGCTTATAACTTAACAAATAACAGTCATTTTTGTGTATCAATTTTTGTATTTGTTCTAAAACCGATATTTGAAAGATATCAACTCGTGAATATATCACAATTTTTATAAATATATAAAAATTGTATTATTTCGTTATTTAATTCCAGATCAATTAAACGAAATCATTGATATGATATACGATATAGATATATATAAATTCTCATTATTTTTCTGCTCGATTCTAATTGGAAGAGATAAAATTATTTTCAAAATCATCAAAAAGGAAATAATCAGTTAGATAGAATTAATTATTGAATTTTGCACGTACGAATCGAGCTTGATATCCTTTTGTTTCTTGCTCTCATCCTCGTTTCTTTAATAATTCAACGAGCCTTAAAATTATCCCCGGTATCCCAAAGGGAGCCTCACAGAAATTCGTAGACGTCGAAAAACACATAATTTACCACGGACGAATATTGCGAGATTGAACTCGTTCCTTTGTTATTGTTTAATCAAATTATCCTTCCGTACATTTGGTACAAAGATACAGCAAATAGTCGTATTTCATTGTCGTACAAAGTTCTCCCTCATCCACAGAGGGAATGTGCACGGTCCGAATGAAATACGAAAAGGAGCCTCGAAGGTTTTCCCGGGGTCGGATAACGTGATAAAAGGAAAATATACTACGTGCTCGTGTCGTGTCTTATTCTCGTTTCGATGTTGTATTTGTTAGAAAGGAGTGAAACAGAGAGGAAGATTACATCTCCATTACGTTTCGAATATTAATTATTTTAATTTCTAAATTATTGTAATTTATTGGTCGTCATTGGAACATGGGAAATACGTTGAATGTGAATTATATCATGTGGAGATCGAAAATATACGATTA